CCCCCCCCGCTGCCTCCTCCCACCTTTGCTTCCCAGCAGAAAGCTACTTCTTTGGCAGAGCAAATCTGCCTTCCTTCCAAGCAGCCAGATGTAAGTAAGTAGGTCAGACAAGGACCAGAGCGCCTTGACAACAGCACTTTAAAGCAAAGCGGGAAGCGAGCTCTGACCTGGAACATGCCCCCGTCACCTTGACGCTGGCGGAGAGGGGGCCGGCATGCCTCACCTCGGAGGTAACGCATTCAACAAGGGCAGAAAATCCAAGAGCAGCAGAGGGGCACCCTACACGGTAACTTTCGCAACAGGGACTAATACCCTGCGGCCACAGCAGCCAGAAGCTTTGCAGCCTCACATGTCTGTGGCACCAGCCGGCCAGCCACAGAGCGGAACCACAGACCTACTTTTAGCGGCAGAAATTAACTCGAACAGACTCAATTCACTGGAAAAAAGAGTCAGCAGTGGCAAAGGTGGCACCGGTCAGCCACGCTCCCCTCCGTGCCACACTCACGTCTCGGCGCCGGGCACGACACACACTCCAGATGGCACCAGCTTGGCACGCCACGGCCGACAGTTCCCGTTTGTTCACAGCGGGACGAAGCCAAGTCCTCCCTCGCCCCCCACGGCACAAAGAGGGGTCTGTGCTCCTGGCCCCGGAGCAGCCATGGGAAAACAGGCTCTGCTTTCGCATTCCAGCAAGGCAGCGCGGCCGCGAGAGCCGCCTGGCAGCCCCCACCAGCGGGGAGCACGGCCGCAGCCCTCACGCGAGGTGTGAAGAGGGGACCTTTCCCCCTGGGGGGTGCAGCGGTGCCGGAACACCTTGGGGACACGACATGCTTGATAAACCGAGACAGGCAGGAATGCGAAAAGCAGAGGACGCGCTCGCCAGGTAGCTTTGCCCCAGAGAGCATGTCCGAGACAGAGCCGGGCAGATTCACACCTCATCTGCAAACCGAGCCGACTCCTTCGGCGGCAGAGACGGCGTCAGGTCAGATTAGATCCTCTCTGGCAACCATCATCTGGGCAGTGACACTCCACACCAGAGATCAGGCCAGGCCAGAGCAACCCGGGCGGACACCCATCCGCAGCCAAGTCTGCCAAAGGTAAAATGAGGCCGATTTGGGATGGCGGCACCTTTCCAAGGGCTCCTGCTCAGCCCAGCACACGGGCTGCGGTTCATGGAAATGATTTTCATGCAAAACCTCTGCCTCCACCTGGCTCGAGGACGCTGCTGCACCGGCTCCTCACTGCCACCTTCCCATCGGTCCCCAGCCCACACTTCTCCTGGATGACAGGGCGGGGAAACCGGGAGCAGGGCAGTCACGAGGCGTTCGGGGCCCCACGTCTGCCCATCAGCTGAGGGTCAGGAGGCAGCCGGCATCTCCTCCCCCTGCATCCCACCCCACAGGCCCTGGAAACGCTGCCCAAGTCCAAGCAAGTCGGGGGGACACAGCCTGGGCCCCCACTGCTCGCCGCAGAGGGGTAGCTGGAGCAGAGCTGTGGTTAACAGCAACGAGGACTCGAGGTAAACCCCCCAGAAAACCTGTC